GCCCAGTCGGTGGGCGAGCAGCCCCTTCCTTCGCCGGTCAAGCCGGTAGTCGATGCCGCTGCGGAGCCATAGTAGAAATACTTTAGCAATTGTTAGAAGATAATGCCATGGGGGAGCCCCCTGTGTAAAGCATTTTTGTGTATTTATGAATATAGTAACTTTATTTTTGTGATGGAACTACTCCATTCGGGGAAGCTTGTTCCGTCCGTTCCTTATTTTTTCCTTAGCATAACTTTGTTTTTTATTCTCTTCTTTTTCACACCTGCCCGTTCGCACCGTAGGCTGCAACTTTAAGAGCCCGAGCGTGGCCCGCGAGGCTAAGTCGCTCATAACCGTAGGTAGAGGCAGGACGCGATCAGACAGAATATTTTAAGCAAAGTTATGTAAGGAAATTGAAGGAATGGACTGCCCTTTCGTTCGGGAAAAATGTATTTATTATGTGAAAGAAAAAAGAGGGGTGACATTGCATCCCCATGGGGCCCCTGAGCGAGGCGGGCCAAAAGTGTTCGGGTCAGGACGCTTTATAGGAGCGAACGTTTAAGTAAAAATGATAAGACTGAATTTTAAAGGAAGAAATGACGTAGCTGTTCGCTATTCCAAGTGTTGGTGAGAACGTTGCTGTTGTCGTCCTTCAGTCGGTAGGCATCCAATCGGATCACCTCGGTCCCCGCATAGTGAACTTCAGTCGTCCGGATCCTTGCCCGCTACGCCCCCTTTCTTGGCCGCTGCTTCTTTGCCTTTTCCTTCCTTCGGCCTCCCGGCCTGTCGTAGAAGGCGCTTGAGGAGCTCGCAGTCCTTGTAGAGGTGTTTGATGGGGTATGCATGGTTGGTGCATGGGCTCTCCATGAGCTCGTTGAAGTGGTCCAGAAGGCCCTGCTGAGGCTACTGGTCCATCTAATCAGCCGTGGCGACCAACATAGAGTTGGCCGGTCGGCGGCGATCTTTTCTGTTGTTTTTGCCCCTCTGCATGGAGGGGCCCTCGTCCTGATCCTCGCACTTAGCCTTGCCTTTGCCTCGGCCTCCGTTGAAGCGAGTGTCTCAGCTCGGCCCGAGCCGCTTGCGTACAGGCGGTCGGTGTAGAGCGGGCGCCAAGTCAAGCCGAGGCGCAGATGCGTCCTCCTGTGCCATGCTCGGTGGCTATAGCGGTGAGCAGGTGGAGCGATTCATCCAGTGCGTCCCCACTCCCCTGGGGGGAGAGAGGCCGTGAGTCGGTGTCACGATGCAGAGCTCTCCGCCTGTTGAACGGCGGTGGTTTCCACTAGTGCCCAGAGGTTCCGGTGAATCGCCTATTCCTGAGGGTCGTTCGACTCGAGGAGGCTGCGTAGAAGTATCACCGCAGCGGCGATGTTCTGGTCAGCCCGAGCGAACTATGGGGGATCGTTCCCCCCATCCATGGTGTTGCACTAGACCCGACGGGCGCGACCCCGGGCGCCGGTCGCCGGTTTATGCGCACGGGGCGCAATGTGGTGCACCGAGCACGCTGGTGCAGGCGGCGCCTGGTTCAGCCGCTGTTGTCGTAGCTCCTCGCCGTGCTCCTGTGTGAGCACGGGGGTCTCCGTACGAGGGTCCGGAGGAGTGTGAGTCTGCAAGGACTTCGCTACCACCGGCGGCTGTCCCGGAGCATCCGCCATAGTGCACTCTCGGGATGGACGGTGGCTAGGCGCTACGTCGCCGATGCTGGAGCTATCACTCTCAACATCATCATCCATGAGATCGAGGAAACAGGTGGGAGCATAGCTCGTCATCCCCATGAATTCGGACGTGAGAGGGGGTGGCGCCGGCATCCTTCGGAGCTCCCGGGCGTACGCGTTCGTGGGGGACATGAGGCCATAGGGGAACCGGTTGCATGGCGGTCGCGGTGGGGACAACGGGGTCCCTCCGGTTAATCGGCGGAGGATAGTAAATAGTAAGTAAATAACAGTACGTACATTACTCACAGCGGGGTTTGAGCAGAGAGTTTGCTGGGGATGAAGCGCAGATGCCTCATCGTTGAAGTCATCGTGCGTCCCAGGGCCAATGGAGGGCGTTCCTCCGACGGGTGCTAGAACGAGTGCCTCCTCGCGGAGGTGTAGTACGTCGAGCCGGTCGGCGATGAAGTCCAGGCTTCCGAAGAGGAAGGCTTGGGACGGCTCGAAGGTGGGTGGAACCCACATCCCAATAGGTGGGAGTGCAGGAAACTCCAGTGAGCCGAAGCGAGTCATATCGCTTGAGCCCGCCATGGCGAAGGTGATGGAAAAGTGGGCCATCCGATGACCAAAAAGTGTTGAACGTACAGCGTCTTCCCCACGGACGACGCCAACTATCGGTGTAGAAAGTGACCAACACGTAAATATTTGTAGTTTTGCCGTACGTTGTGATCGGAGGTGGCCTAACACTCAATGACACAGAGTTTATACTGGTTCAGGCAACGTGCCCTACGTCCAGTTTGAGTCGGTCGGTTACTTTATTGCTGAGCCCAGGTGCTCGAAGTTTGCAGTGGGGTTACAAACGAGAAGGAGAAAGATGGGGATACAAGAGGTCCGGTCGGAAGGGCCGAGAGTGATGGGAGCCCCGCTATGAGCTAAGTGTTCGAGCGTGTGCTTGTGGTTTGAACCTGGCGGTTCTGTTGTTGTGTACTAGAGAACTTGATCGATCTGAATCCACCTGTTGGGAAAGAGCGCATCCCCTTTTATAGATGAAGGGGATGGCCTTACAAGTGAGAGGGAGAGAGTATGTATGCTACTAAGCCTTGTTGCCCACGCCGGTGGGTACAGGATGATGGTAGGCGCCCATAATACTGTTGTATGTCAGATGCACGTGGGAGATTGTGTTGTCTTCTTTGGGTATGGCAGACATCGGTGCCTGCCATACTGTTGATACCCGGAGGCGTGCAAGGGGTTTTACCATGTTCGCTTGGTATGGTAAATGTCGGCACCCACAACACTGTCGATACCCAGAGGCATGTGGGGGAGCCTTACCGAGTGGGAGTTAATGGCGCCCACAATACTGTAGGGGAAAATATCGGTGCCTACAACACTGCTTGGGTTCTGTCGTGCTAGGGAGGTCGCAGAGTACTGTTTCTGCAGGTGTACATGGTACGGTCCCTGGTATTGCGGTTTGACTTGTGCGCTCTGTCTTACTTTCTCCGTCTGTTTCCTAGTCCTTACCGAGCGGGCGTTCCCGATCGGTTGGTCCCAGTCGGCTCTGATCGCGCCAGTCGGAGAAGAGCAGTGAGAAGGGGTTTGTCGCATCCCCGGTTGGAGATGCGGGTCGGAGTCGAGAGCAGTGTTTGGCCAGGCCTTCTAGTCGGAGAGGCCGTCCGGAGGCGGGCTGGAGACCGAAGCAAGCGCTCCAGTCAGAGAGGCGGGTCGGAGTCAGAAGCGGGTGCCATTCCTCCTCGGCCAGGCCTTTCGGTCGGAGATTGGATCGCCCCTCTAGTTTAGGTACTTGGGCCATCCCATGAGTTGCGTGTTTGTCTGCTTGGACCGAGCCTTTGTTGGGAAGCCGGTCCACGAGGGATCCTGGGTTTATGAACCCGACAAAGTTATTAAGACCTTGTTGTGTCCCTATATATGACATCATAAATCTATATTTTAGCTTTCGAGTTTGAATCCAGTTGCTGAATTCTTTATCCATATGTGAACTTGAAACTCTTGTTCTTATTTTATCTTTATTCAAAATTTTCATTTTTTTTATTTTATTCACAAAGGTTCTAGGTGGGCTATCCTCTTAGTTCCTATAATGATAACACCATGATAGTCAAGATGATGAATTTATTATATTAAGGAATTATATCTATAGTGGTATTGTATTATAAATTAAGTTAAATTATTTTAGTCAAAATGTTTAAACTCATTTAAAATATTAGCTTACAAAATTTATTATGATGGAGTAAACTTAAAGTGAATCATCAAGGTCATTGCTACGTAGTTTCTTCAGGCATTTTTTGAAGCTTGATAAGATATTAAGATAAATATTTATCCTAAATTATACATATTTACTTGGTCTGGTTTTTGGAGAAATTATGCTTACATTTAACTTAACAATAGCCAAAGTGTGTAATTTAGAAATATATATAGCCTACTTTATGGAAATTGAATTATTTTTCACAATAGCTTATGTTAGTATTTATATGTAAATTTGATAGATATTTTTAGTTATTATTTGTAACGATTAAGCTGGATAATTTAGATACAAATTAAAAGTTGTCACTTCATATTATATTTAACATTTGTAATCACATATATTATGGGTAATTTGAATACAATTTAGGGGCATTATGTATCTTTCATAATATATGTGCATAATTTATAAAATATTAGGAATTTTTAAATTATTTTTTCTAATGGCATAGGTGCATGATTTAGATATAAAATTAGTTGGTTATTTAAATTATCTGTCATAATGGCATAGGTGGTTAACTTAGATGCAAACTTAAGAGTTATTTTTGAATTATATTTTATAATACAAAAGGCGGGTAATTTAGATAAAAATAGGATGCTATTTTGAATTATCTTTTGCAAATTATAATGGCATTTGTGGTTAATTTAGATGCAGATTTGGGGATATTTTTTAATTATCTTTTATAATGCCAAAGGTTGGCAATTTAGATACAAATCTAGGGGCTATTTTGAATTATTTTTATAACAACAGATGTGGATAATTTAGATATAAAATCAGGGGTTACTTTATATTATTTTATAATGATAGAGGTGTGTAACTTTTATAAAACAGAATAGATGCAATGGCTATTATTGCGATGATGGTTAGAGTCTACCAGATTAAAGGCTAAAAGTTTCTGATTATTGTGAAAATCTATATGATTTATTATCTTTTTTTTCTAATACATCTGGTGAGAATTAACATAGACTCCTTCGTAACCTCTAATAATTAGTAAAAGTAAGATTGATAGACAAGAGTCCAAACTTCAATGTCTGTATATAATATAAGGAACGCGGACTATATATTCAGCTGTTACTAGTCATGTATAAATACGCGGAATGAAATGTTTGCTTGCCAGGATGGAGGATGTGAAGGTGAGGAGTTCTTCAGGCATAGCCAAGGTCACTGGCATAGCGCTCTGCCTGGCTGGAGTCTTCACCATCGCCTTCTTCACCGGGCCGTCAATAAGCCCTGTGAACCATCACCTGGCCTTCGCCTCTGACCCAGCACCAGCAGGCTCGAAACCAGTAGTTCCGAAGGGGGTATGGATCAAATGGACATTCCTTATGGTGGTCGCCAACATGTGCTGGTCTTTGTGGATAGTTTTTCAGGTTCGCATGCATTACGTATTTTTCTTTACCAGAAACCAAGGACGTTGTGCATTCTCTAAATTGTTCTGAGGTCCTGTTCTTGCATGTCTGTCTGCATCCACAGCTGTAATTGCTGAATCTGTGTCTGTTCTGTTTGTCTGTTGACTGTGCAGCCTGCTTTGCTAAAGGATTGCACAGATAAGATGGTTGTGACTGTCACACAGTGCCTGTTCAGCACGGTGCAATCGTTCGTTGTCGCGGTGGTCGCGGAGCGGGACTTCTCCAAATGGAAGCTCCGCTTGGACATCAGCTTGCTCGCCATTTTATACTCAGTAAGTTCTGCCCTTTTTTTTCTCCCTCGTCCACGTGTGAAGGGACATAAAATTGTCATTCGCCCTCTTGCACTGGTGCATTCATTATTGGGAAAAAATTGCATGCATAAAGTATGCACCGGCATTCCATATATACATGCCGTGGACGACTGTCACATGTTCTCAATGCAACGCAATAAGCTGTCTTTCGTTGGCCTATATGGGCCAAGTCAATTACGGTCAGTGCAGGTAGACGGAGAAAGACCACGAATGCTTGATTATTTTATTTTTACATGTGGCAGTAGATTAGGGGCGGCATGCACTGAAGCTCCATGCTTACTATATCCACCTATTTTTTCCCGTTATTGGCATGGTCTTTGGCACACGCGTTTGATCGTTACTTTTCTTTATTATCTTTATTTAGGACTCCTATTTCTTTATTATCTTTATTTAGGACTGCTATTTTTTAAAAAGAGAATAGATTAATTTGGCGGTATTTTTCATGTCCTACCTGTCGATACATTAGTTTTTATTATATGATCAGCCTCAATGGTTAGTGAATACCGTGGCCAAAGCTTCTAGAGTTTGATTGCACATATCTGACTACTAGACAACTGGTTGCATGCTTAAGGGTATTATGGTGACGGGAGTGTCCTACTACATGCAAACTTGGTGCATAGAGATGAGAGGCCCTATGTTCTTCGCCGCCTGGACCCCACTCTGCTTCGTGTTCACAATATTTTGCTCATCATTCTTTCTCGGTGAGATTGTTCACCTCGGCAGGTAAATGCTCGCTATCAGCTGACTATAGCGGTGATATTCAAATATGCGCTGAAATAAACTTTCGTTTGCCGGCAGCATCTTGGGTGGAATTTTGCTGGTCGGAAGCCTTTACACCATGCTGTGGGGTAAAAGCAAAGAGGTTAAGACTGACAATGTCACTCAGGATACTGAGAAAGCTGAGCATAAGAAATCTGCTGAGAGTTACCCGAAAGAGCAACATCATACTACGGCAGAGGTCAAGGAATAAACATTGACTGGCTCGTCAGCTTTGCACGTCCAAGAACTATGAATCTAAGTTCGATGGATTCGACTAATGTACTTAACTCCGTTATGTATCGAAGGTAAAAAAAAAATAAGAATAATTTTCTTAGTAGATAGTAGATCAAGCAGTTTACTAAATCCATAATTTCCATGAAGGGTTTTATGGTAACTGTAATAATCCTCAAGCAAAACAGCATCCCTAATGCTACTACCGCATAAAGCGGCGCGTTTGGTTGCTCCTAAGTGTGGCTAAAAACGCAAGGTCAAATCTTGACTGTTTTTTACTAAAATTAGCCTTAATTTGGTTTGGTGCCAAATTTTGGCTTTGTAGCCCTTTCATTTGGTCACATTTGGTGACATTTGGCACGGCCCAAGTGTGTTGTCATGAGACTATGGTGGCTTTAGTCCTACTTAGTTGTCAAGAATAGGTTAGACTAATTTATAAGGCTTAGAATCCATATCGCCATCACCAGGTTACCTTTTTACGTAAAATAGAGAAAAAAATGTAAGTGGATTAGTGGAAGTGTGTGTTTCACTTAGCGGCCCCGTTCGCTTCGTTGAAAAAACAAGCCGAAACACTGTTCTGGCTGAAAAAACAAGTTGAAAAAGACAGATTATAAGAGAAACGAACAGGGCCAGCGTGTGTTTTATATTTATGCTCCAAGCTATCTTTGGTGGCACCGGACCAGTTTTGTTTGGCCAATCTAGATGTCTATAAACACCTGTTTTAGGCCCTAGACGTTGTCATAAGAGAAATAGCAGACTACGTTAGAGGTAAGGAAATGACCTCAATAGACGCGTTATCTTTATGCACCCAAGAACTGCAAATCTAAGATTTATGGATTCGACGAATGTACTCTAACTCCATTATGTATCCAAGGTAAACATTTTTCTTAGTTCATCAAGTTTAATGTCCATGCTGTAATCTTACATTGTAATTGCAATCCTCCTTAAACACACTACTACATAATTGATTATCGGAGACGTGCTTTTTTATTTACAGAGGCGGGCTGGCCTAGGCACTTACTGTGCAGTTTGTCAGTGGGTCCAAGGCTAACATCCTCCTCTCTAAAAGCATCTACTCATGCAACGTTATTAAGTGACCCGCTTCTATAAATAGCACATTTTACGAATGTGATCTTCTTTGGATGTGATGCCCACCTCTGTAAATGATTAGCAGAGGTGGGTATTTGTTTGGGGCCCACTTGGCCATTTACAAAGCAGTGTAAAAATGCTCGTAACTATTAATTAGGAAGTTCCCCTAAAAATAATTAATTGGGAAGTCTGTCTCCTAAAATCTTTTTGGTAGCAGCGATATCTTAGCTCCATTGTTGTTGTTAAGATTATTATTTAGTGATCAATTTAGATTAATCTCATCATTAGCAACTGCTAATGACAGTTCCAGGATGGGCATAGAAAGACACCTTTTCACCGATAAACAACCGCCCCTTGGACTTGTATATATGTACAGACACTGGTCATCAATAGAGACATCAGTCACTTTTCATCGATCGCTTTCGCTTTCACCATTTCACTTGCAATACGTTATCAGACACGCTCGCTCACCACTGACGTAAATAGGAGAAGGGAAAGGAGAGAGTTTGTTGGAGAAGGAATCACCGGTGTCGCTGCATCCTAAGGTAGAACATGACGACTCCTGTACCTTCCATGAATGCGATGGTCGATTCCATCACCGACGCCGTGGAGACCGCCATCACCCGCGGCAACCACGCCGGAGGCCTTCGCCGCTTCATGCTATAGGGCATCGTCCGTCATGCCCTCTGAGACATCTCAGACTACCGCATCCCTCCTCGCCACTTCCACGGAGTCTGCACTAGAGGGAGCAGTTGCCACCGTTTGTCGTCGCGCCCGTCGTCCCCGCTGCAGTTCGCCCTTGACGTCTGCCCGATGCATGGCCCATCCATGTTCGTCAGGCACTAGGGGCACCGCTGAGGACGCCACCGATGCCGTCGATGCTGCCGAGGCCGCCGGTGACGCTGCTGCCGCCACCACCACCAACGCCGCTGGCCACGCTTGCGCTGCCATGGAATGGAGGCGATGGCTCCATGGCCGCGCGCCGTGGTGCCCCTCCGCTCCCCAACCGCAGCGCCGATGTGGAGATGTGGCCGACCAGCTTTGTCTACGACCTCGACGTCGTGCTCTCGCCGCCACCTCCACCAACCGGACCGCGCTCCTACGCTGACATGGGGGCCAACCGCTACCATGGCCTTCGCCGGAATGCCCTCCCACTCAGAAATGCCCTCAGAGCTGGGTTCGTCTCTTCCTCAGACGAGGAGGGGGTGGTTCCCTGTCTCTGAGCAGCTTGGGAAGGGCCAGTGGGGGTGGATCCACCGTTCTCGGCTTGCAGCAATGGCCTCCGTGGCCAGAGCTCACCAAGAATGGCCGGGTTCTTCCCCGCCGGCCGGCCTCCATGGCCGGTGCACGGGCCTCGGCTCGCGCCCACCATGAGAGGATGAAGAAGAGGCACAAGACGGTGGCTTCACTCATGCAGGCGACAGGAACAGCAGCGGCAGCGGCGATGGTGGCCGGGATGGCAGCATGCGGCAGTGACGTTTGCAAGCGGCGGCGGCAGCAGTTGGGCTAGGCGGTTTGGGTTTCCATAACCCTAACCGTTGGCTTTATAGGTTGCACCGCTGGTATCCGCCTAGGCCAAATTGGTGGCCCAGGCCTGTGGTAGAACCGCCTAAAATAACACGCTTTCATAGGTGCAAGTCTTCCTCTAGACACTAAGCACCCCGAAAGTTAGCTACGTCGGACAGTTACGTCGAGCCCACCCCAAAGGAGAACTCAAAACAATCCACGTTTTACATCCAGAATCCAATAATGAGTATGAGCTTACAATACTTAGTCCATTTCATATAACAAGAGTTCTTGGAAATTATTTATTACAATACTAGAGTTCAGAGTGCGATAATTAAATAGCGGAATTAAAATAAACATCTAGCAGAAACAATATAAGGATCCGTCTGTGCCCTCCAGAAGAATCCTACACACAAGAGCTACTCCTCAAGCTGCACCTGCAACAGTGGTAAAATAAACCCTGAGTACACAATGTACTCGCAAAACTTACCCGACTAGTGGAAATAGTTTCCCGACTCCAAGGAGTATGATAGGCAATATGGGTTTGTTGTTCTCTTTTTGTTTGCGAAAAGCAATACTAATAGTTAATCCTTATAGTCCAGTTTTATTAGCAGTCAAGATTAGTCCATTAGCTAACCATTCTAGGTAAGCACCTGTTCTACTTTCAAGCAAGGGTTAAGCAATCAGAACCATTTCACTATCTTTCATCTTCCAGTTCTTAATACGGTGCTAGACCATAGCCCAAGTCATACCATCTCACAGAAATGGTGATTTGTGAACCAATGTATCCCAGCTGGGTACCCCAAAACACATGCCCCGTTTATACCCCAGGCACAAACAAGACCAACCCATTCCACTCCTGTCACGAGGTCTAGATCCCTGTCCAAACTTGGACTCCAAGCCCCCACACTTGAGACCCGGTCTCAATATGGTGCTTAGACCTCCACCTTTCCCTGCCTCCAATCAGTCGGTCCAGAAAGAGTCGAAACCCATGACAAGAGTGTAATGAGCCTTCCCACTCCCATAAGCAAGTATATGCTCAGGATAATAAGTCTATGACCTGACTACCATCCACAGCAACGGACGGTCCTTAATCGACATGAACAGGGAAAATAGTGTAACCAAGCTAAGCCCCGTTGGCCGTGGGACACAACCTATTACACCCATCAATACCCATACCATATCCCTGTTCGGTCTCCATTTTTTCTTTCATCATTTTATCATGAGAGTAATTGTAATGATAACCTATTATGAGTAACGGCAGGTTACTCACGCTACCAAAAACCTAAGCATAGTAGCTACTTAAACCTATACTAGTAGGACTCATAGGACAGTTATATCTATGCATGTGGTTTTTATAAAATTTTCTATAATGTAAATGCACATCACAAATATATATTCAGTGATTATAAAAAATAAGGGTTATGCACCAGGGCTTGCCTTGGGCAGGCACGGTGTTAGCTAAGTCAGTCAGTGGTGGCTCTGGGACCTCCTCCTATACGAGAATCTCCTCCTCATACTCCTCGATGATCTCCTCGAACTCATGATCGCTGATGGTCTCGATCTTCGCTAACTCGTTCTCTACATGCATGCGATGATGATGTAACACTTAACATTTATGCAACAGCAACTCTTAAAATAAGAATACGCATACTAAGCTACTAAGCTAGCTCTAATGACTAAGGTACTAAGCTAACTATCATCTTTACCAAGTAAAGTGTTGGATTCAACTAACAAACACCTAGCTTTACAAATGAAGAATACATCTTTATTCCAACTAATGATTTAATGTATATTGGAAACAAAGAGCATTTAACTACCCTAATGTCTAGTCTATTCTAAGGCTATAAAAATTATAGTGAGCACATAATAATACAATGAAGCTACCATAAAAATTTCAGGACTAAAATTATCACCAATTTATCACAAAAATTCCTACAACATTTAACCTAATAATATTAAGCACTCTCAAATGATTTAATAGCTCCTGGTATCAACATGTACATATATGAACTAAATATACTAAAAGATAGAGCACAATTTTAGGAACCTAATAAAATTTGTTTCATAATTTTTGGACACCTACATGATTTTATATGATTTACCAAAGATTAGCACAAAAATTAAATTAAAAAACTATTTGTAATTCCTTAGGAAAAGAAAAATGAAACCTCCCACGCGGCCCATATGCACGGCCCATGGTGTGGCCCACGCGAGCGCTAGCATTTTAGCAGAAAAGCCCCCGTGCTTTCTACTATTAACGCGACTACTATGCGCCCTATTCCTTTAGTCAGTGATTATGCATGAAGGCCCCCGAAGAGACTCATCTTTGCATCGGGAAGGTCCCCGAAGCCCTCGCGCTCGCCGATGCGGTGGTGGCCAGCA